CAGAGCTCAAGCCTTTTGCTGCTCTGCTTTCTCTCCCTCAGAAACACTCCTAACCCTTCAGAGGAAGCCTGGGTAGGAAGCAATTACAGACCTCTGGCTTTTTCAAGCCCCTGCGAATTCTTGCACCTCACAGGAAGGTAAATCCGGAAGAAAGAATATTCTTAAAACTGTCTGTGCCCCTGCAGCACGCCACTCATGGAGCAGAAGGCATGCGGCCCAGGCTTCTATCCCCCGTAAGGGATGAAAAGCTCTTAGGGAGGTTTCTCCTCCTCGGTGGCTTGGAGCAGGGGGGTGGCATTCGTGGAGACCCTCAGAGTCACAGAGGTCTAGAAAGCACTTCCAGGGGGCATCTGGTCCAACCTCCTGCCCCCACTCCAGCTGACGTGTCTGATCTCTCAGCCAGCCAGACGTCTGGGTCTGGGGAGCTTCATTCTGACACTAGTGCGAGTCAAATCCACGTACAGTGCGTATGTCCCTGGATGGCGCTGCTCAGAGCCCCCGGTGCGTCGGCACTGGGAGTGGCGCTGGGAGAGAGCTCCTCTGTTGCTGGGTCTGGACCACGTCTACTCACTCGGTTAATGCATCCGACTTCCACTGAACAGTACACCCACCGGAGCCCGGGTCTCTGAAACAGCACGGTGCCAAATGGACACAGCAGCGGCTGCGGACACGACCTCCTACCCACCCATCTACGCCACTCGACAAGCTGCACCTTTCAGAAAGAGAGGCTGGACCGAAGCAGTAGCACACCCTCCCGGGGAAAAGCCTGCGCTCCTCTGCGAGGCGAGCAGGTCCGTGAGCCCGGGTGCGCTGGCTCTCACGCAGGCTGTCGGGAAGTCCCGTCCCCGCAGCCCCCCACGCCACTCCTGGGGACAGAGTCAGCACAAACGCGCCAACTGATCTCTTGGCACGGAGGCGAGTCTTGCATTAAATGGTTCAAAAGCATTTTTCCTGACTTACAACGCAGCCCTCTTTTCCCTTCATGCAGTAAAATCTCCGCTAGTTTGGAGTTTATGACCCTTGGGGCAGGGACTGGGCTGAAGTCTGCTTCTGGACTATTCTGAACAGAAAAGCTCTTCGAAGGAAATTAATAGCTTGCCAAGAGAACTGGGAAGGAAATGCTCACTCCATGTTAAGGGGGCGCCCTCTCTAGCCCTTTACCAGCACACGTGAATCCACAAACAACTGATATGCTAATTACAGATGATTTTTACAGGTTCATTACGTCCTCAACTACTGTTGGTCTTCATGATTACCATAGTGTGAGCTGGCCCCAAACACTGGGTTTTCCTCTTTGAGCCTAAATTTCTTGGGCACAAACTTTTCCGGACTAAGCAATTAACAGGTAATTAACTAACGCCAAGGACAATGACTAGATTTCTTTGGTGGGGACAAGAGAGGGGGGCCTCTCACACTTCGAGCACCTGACTGATCTGTGCAGCTCTCATGCGACCACGGTGACCCTACATCCTGGTTTGGCCTGGGACGGTCGGTCCCTGGTGGGTCTTCCATGCTGGAAGAGCTACTCACAGCAAGCCCTTCTCCCTCTTGATAGGAGCCACAGATTATAGAGTCACTCTGGATTCAACGGAACTGGGGATTAAAACTGTGAGTTGTAGGGGGTTTGAGCCTTCTCTAGACTAGCAGCACCTGGTTATCTCTCTATAAACCGGAGGAACACTCCATAAAAATGTTGCACCAGTCTCCACTGAATCCAGATTGGCCGCCTGCAGCCCCCACCCCCTGGCTGAGTCAGATCAGAACGCCACTCACCTTCCCTTAGGGCGGGGAATTATGGGAACACTCCCCCTTGGTGTGTGCGAATTGCAGTTCAATGTAACTGCCTGTCAGGAGCCGCAATCCCACCTCTTTCATGGTGACAGCAGTGGAGGGGAGAAATGGGTGGGCACGGAGAGCCCAGTACTGGGACGGACCGCTGATGTCCTGTGGCCGCCGCCGCGCTGAGCTGTCTGTGTTAGAGGCGACGTCTGCTGAACAGTCACCGTGCCTGCGCACCGTGGGAAGTGCTGTCCTGGCCTCACGCTTCCTAACTCGCTGCCTCAGACGGCTACTGTTACCATTTCTATTTTCGAACTGACGAAACCGGCTCGGCGAGGGAAAGCCGCTTGTCTAGGACCCTCCGCTTGAATGGCGGAACCAGAACAGGAACCCAGGTTGGTCGGAAGCTCAGGTCTGAACTCGTAACCACTGAGATGCACTGCCTCCCACTCCACTCCACTGTTCTGACATTTGAGTCAGACAGCTGCTTGCAATTTGATACATTGTGAAGCTATTGCCTCATCAAGTATGCCTCACGGGCGGGGGGGGGGGGGCGCGGAGAGCGGAGGAGGGAGAGGGGAGAGGGGATGCTTCGCTCTGAGCGCCCATGTGATCTGTGCCTATTGCTATGAGATCAACGAATTGAATGTGCGCAGTCTATCCTGGCACTGAATTATCTTCACGGATAGACTTAAAATACCCTGGGGAAGTTCATTCAGGGGTAGCCCTCATCCATAAACAGATAGTAAGTGTGTAACCAACAGGACTGGCTGGCGCTGGCCTGCCTCCTCCCCCATCTCCCTGTAGAGAGCTCCCGGGGCAGGTCTGCCCACCGTGACCTGGGCTGGACTCGAGAAACTAAACGACATTTCTGACGAGGCCAGGTCCCCTGGTTGCCTCTAGAGGAAGCTGCTGGGACCCGGCTGATGCCACACCGGGGTCTTGGTCGCTTTCCTTCCTAGGAACTCTGCTTGGAAACACGGCACTTGCACCCTTAAGTAAGCACAGAACATTCAAAAGGAGGTGGGAGCTGACCACTGTCGGATATGGCTGGCCGGAGTGACCACGGGGATGATCCCGGTTTCATGGACAGTCTGTTAAGAGACAACTCAGACCAGCCTTTCCTGAAGATTTGAACGCAAATGCTCCCTGCTCATGCCCCACCCCGGACCCGGAGTAACAGCTACCAACCCGAGTCTGCGCTACAGGGAGGCCACACCTGTTGGAGACCTGCTGAGGGGGTCCTGCCAGCACGGCAGACAGAGAGACAGACGTCAGGGGCTTCTGGCTCAGACCTTGACCTCAGGGGCGGAGACCCGGCGCACTCAAAGACACCAGGGGTGAGATAATAGCTGTGTGGGGAGGGTCGGCTGCTGTGAGGTTCTCGGATAGAGGGAACTGGGATATGTACAAAGACACAGAAGCGTGAGAGTCGAAAGACCCTGTGGGGAATTTCTGTGACTGAGAACAGGACGAGGACCAGGGCAGGCCAGTGCCAGCCCGACAGGAAAGGGCGAGGGTACCGAGCTGGGCAGACGTCAGGTGTGCTTCTCAGAATTTGAACACCCCCTCCTCTCCCTGTGCCCCGGCCTATACGGGCGACTGGACCAAAAGCCGCACTTCTGGTTTCCAGTGAAATCCCCTCTAGTGCTGTCTACAAGGACACATTTATTGTCCATTGCAGCACCTAATCCGCCAACAGTAGATGCTCTCCAAAGGTGGAACGGGTGGCAGAAACCCAAGAAGATAAAACCGCTGACGTCAAAACTCTCTACAAAGAGCCTCCTTCCAAGCAGGGAAACAGCAGCTTCTGACGGCATTGACGGTGTGGTTCCCCTTCTCCAGCCCGTGCCAGAGGGTCCCCGGCCTCCCGGCCACAGACACTGCTGCTGCTGCTGCTGCTCGAGGCCCACGACATCCCGCCGGCCCATCACCCCGTTCACCCACTCCCAACATGGGACACCCGCTTTTCTACAGACCTGGATGAGCCAGACCCTCCCCCGCACCAGACCTCGAAAAGTTCTCCAGCCTGGGTGTGATTTTAGGTATGATTCCGGTCAGTCCTCCTTCCCACAGCCACTGCAAAGTTCAGATTCTGCTGTGCCAGAACAGACATTCTGTCTGAAGCACTTTCCCAGACAGGTTTTCAATCCACCCCCTTAATGTAGCCCACCAGGATTCATAAATCCTCCCAGTGGTCGCCCCTGGTCCACTTCTTCCTTTATCTCCCACCAAACCACTCAGCCAACACCAGCGCATTATGAGTTTTCATACTGCCTTGATTTTCCCTGACAGAGGGCACAGCCTTTTCCCTTTCGTTCTCAAACTCCTCGAAATGGAACGATTCCGGGAGAAGAATTGGGCTTTCTCTACCTTGGAAGGCTTCTGTTTTGCTCAGCCTCCTCTCCTTTCACCCCCCCAGCCTCTCCCCCCACTTTCTGCATCCTTCTCATCGCTTCCCTTACCTTCCGCCCGTCGCACTATGTCCACCACCATCTAAGAATCTCTTCACATGCCTGAGTTCAAAGCAATCAGAGCCTTTTGGAAAAAAACAGCGAAAACTCTTCCCAGACCACCTCCGTGATCTTGGAAGGCTCCTCCCTGACTCTGGAGCTCAGAGTCCTGGTTTGGATGCTGGAGAGGAGAGGGTTCAGCAGCAGCAGCAGCAGCGGCGGCAGCCAGAAAGGCATAGAGGAGGGTGCTGTTTGGGGTGTATTTGGGGGAACAGCATATGGGCTTTTGTCAAAACCTCCAGAGCTCGCTAGTTTCTGAGCTGAGAATAGAAATGTGCCACTGTCTCTGAACACTGCCCGGACTGGATGAACCCTCATCTCCCCATTTCGTACCCCGCCAGCCACCTCAACCCCCCATTCCTCCCCCACCCCTTGCTCTGAGCTCTGTGGTACCAAGAAAAGTTTCTCAGTCAAGTCGTGTCCCACCTGCACTGCCCACCCCAAGCAAGCAAAACCTCTCGAGGAGCAGCAGCAGCTGCCAGGTCGGCAGACAGTCGGGTTGCTCCTTGCTAAGGACTCCCTGTCCCTTCCCACCAGCTTCCACCTCGCACAAGCAATTAGCTCCCATGTTCCAGCGGGAGGGAGCGAGCAGTGACGGAAAAAACAGGCACTCTGGCCCAGCTGTCTGCATCCACCCCTCAGGGTTCTGGGGCACAGGCCAGAAAGGGGGAGCAGCAGGGTCTCCCCTCGTAAGAAGGAGGTCATTACCTGGGCAGCGGCTTGCGGGCTGTAATACTGGCGACAATGATACTCTCAGGACGTGGGGTGGCCACGGCTTTAAAGGTTCCTCGCCAGAACTTCTCAAAAAGCTGCTTCTCGCCTTGCTGAACGCTCGCCATAGCCAACGCAAAGGGGCCGGACGCCCGGGCGCTGTCCGAAGTGCTGAAACGTTGATTCCAAACCGGGGCGCACCAGGCTCTGGGCTCTGTCCGCCCGGAACCCAGAGGGGTGGGGTGGGAAAGATCGGGGTTCAGGGCGGGGGATGGGGCGCCCCAGCCCGGCAGGCAGGGGGAAAAGAAGGCTTGTCCTCTGGCTTTCTTCCGCTTCTTGGTTGGCTCTGGGCTGCGCTCTGGGCTTGCCGAGCTTCCGCGCCCCAGTTAGGGAAGGGGAGGCTGGCTTTCTCGGCGGCGCCGGGAGAGAGAGGCGGCGGGGTCGTCTGTGTGCGTGCGTGCGCGTGTGAGCTCAGGCGCGCCCGGGTTTTGTCTCTCGCACAATGTGACGTTGGAAGAGGAGGCTGGTCGCGAGAGCTGCACTTTCCTCACCCCCACCCCCCTCCGTCTCTCCGCCTCCCACCAACTCCCGCCTCCTCGGCTCAGCCTCCTGCCGTCATCTGCATAACAAAAGCCCGCAGATCCAGGGAGGGGAAAGGGCGGGGCGTGCGCTTGTCACTAGGGCCCCGCGGCTACGGAGTTGCAGCTCTAACCCCTTGGGGAAGCCACCCAGCACCTGAAGCCCAGCACGGAGTAGACCCTGCTCACCAGCCCTCTCTCCTTCCCCACCATTGCGGGCCTTCCCCTGTTCTTCTTGGGTGTGATCTGGGCCCGGCCACCTCCCTTCCCAGCCCCTTTGCAAGGAGATCCTGTAGCGGATCTCCTATTGGAGCGGGCATAAAAACTTAACCTCTCAGCGCAAGCCAACCTGGGCCCCCTCCCCAATTCTGGTAGGGACTGCCTAGGCCGGAAAGGGGGGTTCCCTACGTTCCTCTTTACGACGGAGTGCCTCGAGATCCCCACCACCCAGAAAGCGCGTTTGATGGACAATCCGTCACCAATTCGGCTTCTCGCCATCTGCCGAGCCGGGACCCCCGCCCGCAGAGGGGCGCAGCGTTGCATCTGTGCACGCGGCGCTTTTGTGCCTCGCAGCCAGCCAATCCGATGTCCCTGCTGCCAAACCCGTCGGCAGGAGAGAGTACCCCCCCACCCCCACCCCACACCATCCCATCCACTCTGGGGGAATTCGGCTGTAGTCACTTTTCTTAACACAGCTTTTCTCGGGAAAGGAATCTAGTTCGGGAAAGACAGCGTTTGGTGGAGGGGATTTAAGGGGAGAAATCTGAGAATGACAGGAGGATAGTTACTTATTGGGGTCTCTCTCCATGTTCTACTCCTTCCCAGTGCAGCTCCAACCCCAGAAAGTGGAAGCTTAGAACCACAAATAAACCCCAAAGGCAGAGGGCCTTGGCGGAGTAATTTCTCTTTCACCCCCCAGGGTTTTCATTAAGAAAAAGGGAGCTGTAGGACCCCGTAGCTCATCTCGCCCTCGGAGCCCTTTAATCTCAGCAGAGTTACTATTCCCACTCCCCAGGCCGCAGGCTCCTGCAAGGAAAACTCGCCAGGCTTCAAAGGCCTCCCAGCGCCTGGCACGGGGTCTCCACCACAGCGGAGGAAACTCATGCTCTTGCTGATGCTGACAGCGACTGGGACCCGGGGACCTCAGCAGCATTGTGAACTTCAGGAATTCTTTGGAAGGGAACAGGAGGGGAACGGGGCAGGAAGGGGAAAAGGAATGCAGAGAAAATAGGATGGGCGATGGGGGAGAAGGGAAAAGAAACCTGGGATGACCGGGTATTGGTCCAGAAGCGCATAAAGGTTGGATGTGTACGTGCATTTGGATTTCTGCGTGCTTGCTCCTGTGAGTGCCTGGGAGCGCTGCTCGCTCTGCAGCGACCTCTTCTGGTTGACAACTAGAGGTGCATATGCTGGCTTCTTAAAGCGGATTGCTGCTGCCTGGAGGTGGGGTTCGGGCTGGGGAGCTTGGAGGTAAAGGCAAGTAGAAGCTGAACTCCACCTGTCCCCTTCCCTCCTGTCTCTCAAAACTCCCCTGCTCCGCACCCTTTGTTCTCAGGCCCTATTTCCCACCCTGACACTGTCATTTTAAATGCCTTTGAGAGCTGGCTCCTTCAGTAGCCTGAGACACTTAAAATTGTTTTTAGTCAGGACACTTGGGTGGGGTGGGAGCTGCTCGGATGAGGTAGCTGGGACCCTAACCCCACAAGATCAATGAACATTTCCCAGCCTGGTCCTGTTCTAAGTTCCTGAAACATTGATAAAGTTTCCAGTTGCAGACCATGGCCTCATTTGAAACCTAAACAGTAGCACAAGCCAGGTGAGGGGGTGAGATAGCTGAGGTGTAGGGCGGTCGAGTGACTTGCCCACGGTGAGGCGATGCTGTCAGGACCAAAGGCGATGGGTGAAATGCAGTTTGGCATTTTGCTCGGGGGTGTTGCGGGGGGGGGAGGTCCTCAGGACAGCAGGCGTTCGGGTGAGGGACTGTGCAAAAACTATCAGATACCCATGAGCACATGGTGCAGAGGCTTCTCAGTTGGGAGTCTTGAGTGATACATTCAGGGCCTCAAAGCCAGACTTCCTGGGTTCAAATCCCAGCTCTGCCATTTCTTAACCGTGACCTTGGAGGAGTAATGGCATTTGTCCGGGTCTCTGTCTCTTCATCAGTGACATAAAGACTCCATAAAAATTCAATACCTGCCCTGGCTGGCGTAGCTCAGTGGATTGAGCTCGGGCTGCGAACCAAAGTGTCGCAGGTTCAATTCCCAGTAAGGGCACATGCCTGGGTTGCAGGCCATGCCCCCAGCAACCGCACATTGATGTTTCTCTCTCTCTCTCTCTCTCTCTTTCTCCCTCCCTTCCCTCTCTAAAAATAAAATAAAATAAAATCTTTAAAAAAAATTCAATACCTTGCATGTGGGTGGACTAGCTGTAAGGGCGGAAGGAATTACTGTGTGCACAGGTCATATTTGGAACGTAGCTTACTAAATATAACGGTTATCATTGCGGGGTCAGCCAGGACAGGAGTATAACACCCAGCTCTTCCCCTTTTAGCTGCATGACCTTGAGCTAGTTACTAACCTCTGCTTCAGTTTCCCTACCTGCAAATTGGAGATAATAGTCCATATTTCACATGGTTGTTGTAAAGATAAAATGGAATGAATGTTGCCTTCAAAGATTAGCACAGTGTCTGGTTCACAGCAGCTGCCCATTCACTGCTGGTTGTTATTATAGATGCCACTGGAGTCACTGACTGTTAGAATGGTGAGTCAGGCCACATTTGGTTCAATAATCATTAGTAGATGCCCAAGCTTGGCCAGGCACAGTCCTGGGCAGAGAGAGTCTGATGATAAACAAGACACGATCCCTTTCCTGAAGGCGTTCACAGTCTGATTCACCTTCCAGCTCTCCACTGCCTTTTCCACCCTATCGAATCGGGAATGCCAACTCACACCAACGAGTAGTGGCTATCCAAAGCTATTGAGAAGGATTCAGAGGCCCTGTCCCAGAAAGGGTGCTGCGATGGACTAGTGATGTCTGCCACGGGCATAGCACGTGGAAAGGCAGCAATTGTGCCACATGTGACTTACAGTTGAGGTCCAGCTCCTCCAGTATGACTCGAATTTCAGTTCCTCCATCGGTTTATCAAAATATGACCACCTTGCCCTGGCTGATGTGGCTGAATGGATTGAGTGCAGCCCTGCGAACCAAAGGGTCTCGGGTTTGATTCCCAGTCAAGGCACATGCCTGGGTTTCAGGCCAGATCCCCAGTAGGGGGCATGCAAGAGGCAACCACACATTGATGTTTCTCTCCCTCTCTTTCTCCCTCCCTTCCCCTCTCTAAAAACAAACAAACAAATCTTTTTAAAAATGACCGTATTGTACTCATTCCTTCAGGGTACTGCTTTCTGTTTTCCCTGATGCAAGCAGCCTGCCCCATGAACCGAGACTGCTGTCAGCATGCTGGTTAGTGAGCACAAACTCAGGGTACAATTGCTGCCTGTCCTCTAGTTCAGAGAAACAACTGCCCCTCCTCCTGGGGCAGGTCAAATCCCACCTCACAGGCGCTACTGCGTTGCCTTGGGTGAACCCTGTATCTCCCTGTGTCCAGGGCTTCTCTGAGTACAGTGTGGCTAATCGTTAGCCATCAGCATTAAGGGACGTCAGAACAGTTGACATTCTGGACCCCTTTCTGAAAGTCCAGTGAACAACAAATGATTTCAATAATTACTCGGCTTCTAGGAAATATGCTGATGAGACCAATTCGTCTCTCCTTGTGCTTTTAAACAAGATCATACTAAACTATTCAAATTACAGGATCCTGTATTTCTTCATGTAGAGAGTTGGGAAGAAAAAAAATGATTGCATTACTCAAGGTTTACCAATCCTCATTTCTTGAAAGTTCTACCTTGTATCTAATCTGAATCCCACTTCTGCTCTTTATTATCTGTTCCTCTCCTAGAATAAATGTCCCTGGATTCACACCGGTAAACCAGCAACCCTCCTTCCCTGGCTGCCTAGTTCCCAAGATTCTCCAAGACACATTCCTTGCCATCTCAGGTAATAACACTTGCTTCACCGATCCAATGCGTGTTACTATGTGCTGCGCTCCAGTCACCACCTGCGCCAACCCCTGGATACACATGACCTTGTTTAACCCTCGCAACAACTCTGTGAGAAAGGAACCATCGTTTTCCAAATTTCGCAGATTTGGAAACTGAGTCTCAAAGCGGTGGAAGGTTCAGTCTGTGCAAAGGCCACACACTGGAAAGGAGGAGGTGTTCCTATTCGAGAAAGAAGCTGAAGCCCAGAGGACGCGGTTGGTAATGGAAAAATGTACTCCATGCAATGAAATGAGAGGACTGCCATTATTCCGTCCAGTTTAAAAAGCCAATGATATTATATCATTATTTCTCAAAGTGGGGTTCCTTGGAACCCTGGTGATCACCCTCCAAAGTTTTGGGTGGTACCCAGCCCGGCAGAGCATTAAAGAACACTGAGCACACGGTCATACACAGTGACAAAGTATTCCTTTTATCAATTGTCTTCCTGGCCATTAGGTGCCTTCCAGAAGTAAATCTCCATTCCATCTCCTTGAAATGTCTTTTCAACAATGAGAAAGCGACTTCAGACTCCGAGGCAGCGGACTACTGGAATTTAATAACATTGCTTTGCTGTCATTGAATTTATTTTCTAGTTCCCTTGAATTACTGGCATGTGATACTTGATTTCCATTTTGAAAAACGTCCTCTTTGAAGATATTTGCAAACACCTCCAATTAGGACTTAATATTCAAAATACAGAAAGAACTCATACTACTCAACAACAACAAGAATACCCACTGGTAACATAAGCAGAGGGCCTGAGCACACACTTCTCCCAAGAAGACA